GCATATATACATGTAACTATTTTAAATTATTAATAAAGATATAAGCAAGGCCTCACCTTAATACCAAAAAAAAAAAGATTTATAATTATTTTACTATGAATGCTTGAATCTGAAAACTTTTATACTTTAATGTCAAAAAAAAAACGTCAAGTAGCTGTTACACTTTTAGACACAGGTTTAATTAATGAAAACTTTAATTCGATCTTTTTTCTGTTTCTGGTAGCATGAAAATGATACAAAAAAAGAAAATAGTTCTTTATTCCTAATCTGTATTAGCCAAAAAACTGCTACTATTCTTAACAAACAAAAGTTTATTGTAACAGTAGCTATTGGCTATCCTTCTGCTCCTTTTTTACCTGGTTACCAATGTTATTATGATAGTATAATTTTAGAAATTGTTGCTAATCCAAGTACTGCCATATCAATGGTATATGCTAATATATTCAAAAACAAAACCCAAGTATCAGAACCCCTTGTAATTGAATGAACAAATGAAAAAATTATTTTACAACTTTTATTTGATATTATATTTTATCTTTTTTTTTTTTCTTTGAATAGTAAAATGCAAATTTTTGTATTTGGAATTGGTGTATCATCATGTCAAAATCTTAGTAAAAGTGAATCTGAATTTAAATCATCACTAATTCGTGAACATAATTCAAAACACACATTATTTGTTTCAACTATAGATAATGATTTAAACTGTTTTCTAAAAATTTACCAAGAATTTCAACTAATAAAATGTATTGAAGGATGAACTTCTGATGAAGTTTGGTATCCAATTAGTATAAAAAGTTTTACTGGCACACAACTTTTTGGTTTAGATAATTCAACAACTTAACTATATATTAATCAATATAAAGTTCCTATCTGTACTTTTGTTGATTAGAATAATTATGATATTATGAAGAAACTTTTGATTATCACTTAAAACAAAGAACAATTGTTGATATCTTATGATATCAGTTTTTATTAATTGGGCCCAAAATGAAAATGAAACAATAGAGCTAGTTACTAGCTTACAAAAAATCTACTCAACACATTACCAGTTTAGTGAAAGAGAATTTAGTACTTGAAAAACCTTAATACGAGCTGTAGGTAGATTTAATATTACTCCATGGCCATTCGACAAATTAGAGGTAATCAAAGATTGAATATAATAGTAAATTAAATCAAAAAATTATTTATTATAATAAAATTTTATTAGTTTCAGATTTGGACATATGCTAATTCAGCAAACAAAGATAAAGAAATATTACAAACTTTATATAAAATAGGGTTTTTAGTACCGATACCAAAGAATATGCCTAATACTACACAAATATTCTGGTCCTGTTTTCAATGTGCTTTTTCAGATAATAAAAAAACTTCCGATAACAAATGGCATATATTATTTATTATCACAAATGATTTTACTTACTCTGAATTAAAAACTAATTTAAATGTAAGATAATTTAAAATTAGTAATATTTTAATTTTAAAATTTTAATAAAAATTTAAATTATAAGGTTGGTGAGCATACAGTAGATGAATCTCGAAAATATGCAATAACCAATAGATATAGTGCACCATCACTTACCATGCCTGTTATTCATCGTGTTCAATTTTCATCTGAAAGTTTAATACAATTTGATCAATTTTTTATGCATAAAGATAATATTTCACAAAGTAGTTACAAAACTGAAACTTTAACCGATTTACTTGTATTGTATTTGCATGATACAAAAAAAGAATTATGGGAAAAATTCCATAAAGAATTTCCAAATTGAATGCATCGTACTGCTTTTATGAAACGTTTAGAAAGTGGCCAATTTCTATATAAAAAAAATATAAGTGAACTTTGTAATGCATGTAATAAATATGGTTATGAAGTGTTTGAAGATATCAGATCACTAATTGATGAATACATCGCAAATACAGTTGACAGAGTATAAATCTTTTTTATATTTTACTGTAATAATTATATTATATATCTATTAATTAATTATTTGATAAATAAAATAGAAAAATTAATTGAAACTATGGAATACTTACAAAGATATCTAAGAAAAGATTATGCAAAAAATCTTCTAATAGACAAGTCAGATGTTTCAATTCATAATTTCTGTATTAGTCATTGTCTTTCATATGCATTTGAAAGCTATAATAATTCATATTCTAATATATATAAAGAATGTGAAAGTCTTCTAGAATTTTTTGATTAATTACAAGAAAAATTAGAAGAAGAACAACAAGAGGCTTTAATAGATTATCAAAATCGATTGGTCACTTTTATGGCTCATCATGCACGTAGGACATATTTGAATAAACAATTATCTGCTGAACTTGAATTATTGAATCATACTGAAGCACTACTCCTTGTAGATTTTAAAATGCGAATTAATCCCCAAAGTGCATGTGAAACAAAAGAGGAATTTTTTAGTAAAAGAGAATGGACTTTACATACTGTTCTAGTATATCAAAAAAATATATTGAATAGAATGTTAAATATACAAGCTTTTGACTATTGGTCTGATGATACTCGCCAAGATGCCTGGTTTGCAGCTTCGTCACTCTATACAGTTATAGAAGTTATTGATCCAAAACCACAATGGATAACTATTGTATCAGATAATGAACCACATTATAGAAATATAGAATTAATGCTAATTATGGGTCATTGGAAAGAATGATATAATGTTAACCTGCAAAAATGGATTTTTCTTGAAGCAGAAGAAGCAAAATCTACAATAGACTCACACTATGCTTAGGTTTTTCAATTATATTTATATTTAGGCTATTCAAAGTTAATTAGTTATTTAACATCACCCTCTCCTCTCAGTCAACTGTCCCCCCAAAATTAAACAAGCCAATCATAAGGCAGAATAAGTGAGAAAAAAAAATTTTAGACGAAAATTCTTTGAAAAGTTCTGAATAATCATATTTATTTTAATGTGTTTATTTAAATTACCCTCTCATCTAAAAATTTAAAATAATGACATTAAACAACCAATTAATGTTGAATAGCCTATCTGATATAATGTATATAAGCTTATATATAATAATTTTCTAGATTACGCATTTAATCAAAAGATAAGTCAAGTTAGGTTACAATATTGAATCAGGACAAGACATAGAAAATGTAATAAAAAACTTATTTGGAACACATGTGGCTAACCTTGAACCCAATCATGATTTAGGTATATAACTTTAATTCTAAGCAAGGAGTTTGGGTCAAAATTCTGAAAATTTAATTGTCATTTTACATGATGCAATATTCAAAGTCTGCTAATAATTAGTAATTTATGATTACTAATTATTGCAGGCTTTGAATATTGCATTACATAAGTAATAATTAAATTTTTAGAATTTTGACCAAACTCTCAAATAAGATTGTAATAACAAAATTGTAGGCTAAGCCAGTTGTTAGATCAAATTAAGTATAAGAACATCAATAATCTAGTTTTTTAGTTCAATTTCAAAGAACCTAAATTTTATTATAGATCAGATCAAATATTATTGAATAGAACTAAAGGTGTTCTCAAGTACCTCACTCAATGAATTGGAAATAAAATTTTAATTAGTGAGAATTTGAATAAACTAAACAGGAGAGTTATTATCTTGATTAATAAAATAGCAAACCTGATTAGCTAAAGTTCAAAATTCACAATTCATATAATGAATTTTCAGCATATTGTTACTAATTAATTGTAATAATCTCAATCATTTAAATCATATTAAGAGAGTTGCTTGAAAACACTCTAAATAAAAATAATCTAAGCTTTGAAAAATTGGTTAGTAACCTCTAATAATAATTGTTTGTTCTAAATAATATATATAGACAAAAAAAAATTGGGAACACTTTCAGGAATCTCAACATGGCATAAATTTACATAGCCTGAAACAGGCGAAAATGCAGACTATCTTTGTGCATGATCCTTACTAAGCTTTGGACCTTTGTATAAATTTAGTCCTCTACAATTAAAAAAAATTATCAAAAATCATATATTTGAAAAACCAAACTCATCTCCAACCACACACTCGCAACCCACAAAAATTTGGACTACTTATATTTCTGTTCAAGGTACTATTATATATATATTCAAATAAATATAATCTTATATTAGATTTTTTATTTATTTTTTTTTATTAGAAGAAAAACAATCAGAAGAGGAAGAAAATAAGGTACATTTATTTCATATTTGATTTGAGTCTAAATTCCAATAATAAAATATATATGATAAAAGGTATGAATAGCGATTCAATCAATTCGACAAACATATCTAATATAGATCTAGACAATTTATCTATATCTAGAAGATATAAATTTACTTGCCTTTTATAGTTTAGATATATTCGATTATTTATAATTTTCATTAAATTTTAGTCATACGAAATTTGTTTTGAGTTGGGTCCTTCAAGAGAATCTAAAAGTTAATCAAAAGGAATCAGTAAAACGATTAACTGAGCAAGTAAAAAAACTTTTAGGAGTTATGTTTCATTCTGGAGTAATGAATTCAAAATTAAAAATAAATGCTGCAGAAATGCATGCTGAATTATTACAGCATGCTCACCAGAGAAAAATTCAGCAACATGATATACCAAAGATATCTACGATAGCTAATTGGATTACAAAAACTTCTCAAACTGTTAAACATAATATAGCATTAGAGTTTTTGGAGAAGAATAATATGTTCAAAGTTCAATCATAACTAAATATAAGGTTCTTAGTACTTTATAGTACAGATTCTTAGTACTTTTAGTAGAGATCCTATTATAATATGTAATTAACTTTTAGTTACAACTGTTGTTATTGATAAATTGCAAAAAAAAGATTTTTGGATTTATACTTTGCAATGCCTAAATACTGGCAGTAATAAAAAAAGTGTTTGGTAAGTTCTTTATAGAAAATTTTCATTCAAATAGAGTAATAAATATAGTATATTCAATAAGAAATCATTTATATTCTTATGTAAAAATCTATGATCTGGCCATAATAAACTCATTAAATAATAAAACAAATTAATTTTTTTTTTAGATAGCATTATAGTAAGTCTTATTTTGTATTTTCATATGACTAAATGCAAAGAATCATTGATTTTCTATATATTTGCCTTTTCGAGTTCTTGAGATTTTTTATGTTTTACTTATAGATATAGACTCAAATTTTCTATACTAAATTTCTGCCAATCTTAGCCAGATTAGCAATTAACCATTTCATTTGTCTGTAGATAGTATAATGAAGAAAACTTATGTTTAATAAAAAACTTTTTATATATAGTGAAATATGAATAGTTTTACTAATAAAATTTTTTTTGATTAAAAAGAATAATTTTTGGTATTCCATGTTGACAAATAATTTTTTTAAAAATAAACTAGGCTAAGATATTTACTTTAGCATCAAGTATGGCATAAGCTTCTGACCATCTTGTTAAATAGTTAATAACAACAATAATATATCAATTATTTTGTTTAGTAATTGGTAAGAGTCTTACTAAGTCAATACTAATTCATTCAAAGGCTCATCCTATTTGAATAGGTTGGAGAGGTTCAGTTTATCTGCCTTTTAGTCTCTTTTGGCACTTTTTATATGTTCTAACATATTCTTGTACATCTTGATACATTTGGTTTCAATAATATTGTTTAGTTATTTTATAATACATAGCATCTGTTTTTAAGTGTTTTGCTGTAAAATGTTATGCATCATATACAGAACAGATTCTACTTTATTCTATTTGATAACATGAAGAGGGTACTGAGAGTTCTTTTTGTTTTTCTTGTATAATAGTTCTTTCTTAGTAGTAAAATGTCTAGTACAATGTTGTATTTATTTAATCTGTTTTTGTGATAGGGAGTTAGATAACTTGTCTGATTCTATATAGTTATATAAATTATAATAGAGGTCCAAATTTATAAGAAAGAGTTTTGGTATGAGGTCTGTATCTAGAGTTAAGATAAGGCATCTACATTGAAATGAACTCATTCTGGTTTATAGATAATTTTAAAGATATAGAACTGAAGTTTTAGAATCTATTATCCTAGGCATTCTTTAGATTCAGCAGATTGTAATCACTTAAGAGCAGAATGGTTTGTAATTAGAATAAATTTGGCAGTTTCAGGATATTTATAAAAATATTCAATAGTTCATATAACTGCAGCACATTCAAGTTCAGTAGCTTTATAGTTAACTTCTCCTTTGGTTAAGCTTTTACTTGCATAGATTATAGGGTATTCTTTTTTGTTTCTATTCAATTGACTAAAAGTAGTTTCGAATCTATAATAAAAGACATCAGTAGCTAAGATAAATAGTCTATTAAAGTTAGGATACTTTAATATAAGAACTGTGGTAAGTCTCTGTTTCGATTCTTCAAAAGCTTTCTGTTGTGATTTATCTTATATATAAGAAGTTTTTTTACATAGTAGCTGGTTTAAAGGTTGTGCTATTTTAGAGAAGTTATAAATAAACTGTCTGTAATAACCTACTAGTCCTAAGAATAAACATAGTTGAGTTATATTGTTAAATGGTTAAATCTTCTGGACAGCTTCTATTTTTTGAGAATCAGATGCTATTCCAATAGAGGTAACTATATGTCCTAAGAATGATAAACTCTGCATTCAAAAGTTACATTTTAATCATAAATCTGCTTTTTTGATTCTAATAAAAGTTTGTTGCAAATGCTCTAAATATTTATTGAAAATCTTGAAGTATATTATAGAATTATTAAGGTAGACTACTACAAATTTCTATGCAATGTCTTGATATACTCTATCTATTAATTGTTGAAAGGTTGCAGATGCATTACATAGTTCAAAGAGCATTACATTAAACTTATAAATACTATATTGAGTTACAAAAGCAGTCTTTTCTCTGTTTGTAGAGTGCATAGCAACTTGCAATATCTTTTGTAAGGTCAAGTGTAGAAAACCACTTAGATTCTTTTAAGATATTAAGCATTTCATCGATACAAAAAGAGATAAGCATCCTTTTAGTAATACTGTTAAGTTTATAATAATCAACACAGAATCATAATTTGTTATTTTTCTTTTAAACTAATATAACTGGTAAGATCCAGGGGCTAGAGAAGGGTCATATAAGTTTACTATCAAGCATTCATTAAATTTTTTCCTTAATAAATATCTGTTTTGTAAAAGAAGAAAAGTAAGGTTGAGATTAAATAGAAGGTTCTTCTTTAGTATAGATTCAATAAGTTACAAGATTGATGCATTCTAATTTTATTATATCTTGTGCAAAAAGATCTAAGAACTTCATTAGCAGCTGGCTAAATTGTTTGTCTTGTTTAGCATAAAAGAGTTTAATGTTTAATTTAAATAGTTCTGAGCTAACATTATATTCTTTATAAGAGATTATAGTATTTATTATAAAAACTTGATGCATCTTGTCTAGTTTAATAGGTAGTTTTTTATCCTGCCTGAGATGATCTAAAAATTTGACTTTTTTCATTCTTAAGCAAAGGAAGTATATCATTGTTAAATGGTCTGAGCATTATGTTGAAATGCTTGTAGAAAAGTTTGTATGAATCTTTTAAACTTTTTTACCTTTTGTTAGAGCTGTAGAATAAGTTGGTTCTGGGTTTCAACTTGTTGTTATAGTTGTGCAACTTGTAATTTTAAGAGGTCTGGTTCTGGTAAAGTTGCAGTGATTGATTTTAGCAAAGGATCTACTGGTTCTGATATAAAAGGTTTATAAATAGAGACTGGTGGAAGAGCACAATTCTAACAATATTCTTAATAGGCATTTAATTCATCTTGATGCTTAACATGTAAGCATTCCTTGCAGAAGTTAACAGAAGCACTAAACTGTTGATGAAAATTAGCAATAACAAGCTGATAATCAAATTTTGAATAGCTAATATCAAAAGACTTGTTGAAGAAGTTGCTCTTTTTCATTATCAAAAACAGTTTTTTTAGCTTATAAGATAAGATCTATTTCTTTGTATATTCATGGTCAATTGATCTGGTTATTTACTTGAGGTTCCAATGCTTCAATAATAATAAGGTTTGTTTCTTGCAAATAAACTTTAACAAGACAGAAAATATGAGTCTAATTTATTTTATACTAAGATCTAGCACTTATAGTTAACCTAGTATAGTGTTTAATTTAAATCTACAAGTTATAGTTAGGATTGTAAAGAACATCTGTACTGGCTTTGTAAGCATATAAATGTTTGAGTTTACAAAACTATAGTTTCTCTGTAATACTTTCTAAATTATGCATCTTGTTTTTGGACTTAATATGTTTGCATAATTTGCATTTAACCAAGGTTCCATGTCTATTATCTTGGATGTAGTAGTACTAGCTTCTGAAATCATTATGATTAAGACTTTAGTAGAAGTTAGTATAGCAACCTTTACAAACAAGAACTTTATCTAATTCTTGTAGAGTTTCTGGTCTTTGAGGATTCTTGCAATAGCAGCAATGATGAATGTAATGATTGCTATGATAGTATTGTCTTTGGGCTTTAACTTCATTAAGGTTGCATTCACATTAGTAAGTCTAATTTTGGTGCTTTAGAGAAGCTAAGAGACAATCAACAACAATATGTCTCATTGAGTTGCATTTATGACAAATATTTTCTAAACATTGTCAATAAAGATATTTAAAGCTTTGGCAATTCTTGCAAGTTTCTTTTTAAAAGGCTTGTAATTAACAATAAATAGCAATATGTCTTTTATAATATTATTAATTGCAAGTATTTTGAAAGCAGTTAGCAAAGAGGTAGTTAAAAAATTTACAGTTGCCACATATAAGATGAGGCAGTTTGGGTTCATCATTGAGGTTGGTAGACAGTTCATTCTTTACTGTCTGTTTTTAAGATAAGTTAAGCAGTATATACTTTATGAAAAGTAAAAAATTCTTGCTTATAGAGGTCAAGCTCTTTAGGGTTTGTTACTGTTGTTTAGGCAAGTAAGGCATAGTCACTTTTATAGGTTGTTAGTACTAAAACCTTTTTGTTATTCTATTTGAATAAATAACAACCATTCTTTTAGTTATAACTGATACCAACTTTCTTGGACTAGTTATTACCAAAAAGAAGGAAATAGAAAGTAGCAGAAACAACTTCAACAGTAATTGAAATAGTCATTTCTTTAATTTTTATAAAAATATCTTTAATAATTTTTAAAAGGTATATAGAAGTACCAGTTGCTATAACAATTAGACTAGTAGAGGCTTGTTTAATCTTAAGTTCTAATTCTTTAATAGTTTAATGAGTAATTATACTAATAGCAGCACCACTATTGATGATAGCTTAGTAAAATCTGTTTCTAAGTTAGATGTTATATTTTATAAAAATAGTATAGATAGATAATTAAACTAAGTTAGCATTTTTGACTTCTTTATACAGATATGCAAACATAGCTGTATAAATAGAAAGGTTGTCAAGGAATTGTTTATATTTCTTTAGTGTTGTAACAAAAGAAATAAGAGGAAAATCTTCATGGCTAAGATAGTTAACATCTCTATAGTAGAGTAAGAATGAGTGAAAACTAGTTTTTCTGCTATTACTATTATAGAAGTCTGAGTATCAGCTTTTTTTTAAAAAGTGTTTTCTTTTTCAGAAGGGTTTTAATAATGATTTCTGTCACAATTTTGAAAGTGAGATCTTTGGTTACATCTATTATTCTTTCTATAATTATCTCTTTGGTTGGGTCATTGTTCAGCTCATTTGGTTATACATTTAGCAATAAAATA